GAGGGGGATGTGCGAGAGGTCGGAGAGTTGAATGCGGGGAACGGGGCCGTGTGGTTCATCCTTTGTCGCCTCTTTGGATTCAGGTTCTGGCAATAGGTTTTAGTAGTGCGGAGGAAAGGGATGCGTGTACCTTTCTCGCTCTCCTCCTCGTCGGATCCGTCGCTGGACTCACTGTCGTCGGAGTCCGAGCCGCCCTCTCCTTCGCCGTACTCAACTAATTACGAGTCAGAGGGATCATTGCCAAATCCACCTACATTTTGCCGGCTTCTTTGGGCCGTGCGGGTTGAATGTCGGATGATACCACTTGTAGTCCTCCTCCGCGACCTTCACCCTCTTTGTCGGCCTCGCAATCGTCGGAAGACCCGCTTGCTTGCGTTGAATGTCAGTACCAACCTTAGCAAACAAGGAACAAAGCGACAATACCTGTCTCGACTCCTGAATCCTCGCAAGCTTTTCACCCAGGGCCTCCTTCCTCATCTGCGTGGCGCGGTCCAGGACGCCATGCTGTTCCATCTCCTCTATGGACGCAAGCTCCTCGAATATCGCCTGCGCATCTTTTGTCGAGGTCGTTAAGACCTTCGTCTTCTTCCTGCCATCTTTATTCTACGTAACAAATGAGTAAATCGGAAAGGAACTAACGAGAGGAGAACCTTCTTCAACTCCTTCTTCCTCTGCTGCTTCCGATGCTGGTCGACGGGGTTGATCTGGCCCCCTTTCCTCTTTCCCATATTTGCTGTATCCCGCGCTGCTACTCCTCCCAGTCAGGCGAAGTGGTGGGCGCGTCCTCGATGGTCGGTGACTTGTCCGCAACACGAATGGCCGAGTGCGAAACCGCTTTTTCTGACACCCATAAAAGCCACCCATCCCCGTCCCACACGTCGCCCAGCTCGCCCATCAAACCATGTCGTCCGCCGCTCGAGGGAAGAAGGTGAGCTCGTGGTCGCATTCCGTTGTCTGGATCCTCTGACCTGTGTCCGCATCGCAGTTCAACAAGACAAAACGTGGAGGTGGGGTATTTTCAGCTTCGTAGCGCCTCCGCACTCTTTACTAAAGCACAACAACGACGGCAGGTCCACGGACATTTACCGTGCAGGAGTGGGACAAGCCTGACGAACTGCGGAAAAAGGGTGGTTCCGACTCGGACGAGGACAGCTCCGACGAGGACACTCCGGCCCCAAAAGCCGCACCGTCCAAGCCGGCGCAGCAAAAGAAGGCTATTGGACGGTCGGATGATACTAGCGAGGAGGAGGAGGACACCCGTGAGTGTTACCATGGCGGTGGAAGAGTGCTGATGTGTGGAATGTTTACAGGACCAGATGTCCTCCCCAAACCGAAAGAGTACGGCAAGCCCTTACCGGAACCCGCTCCCGTCGAGGAGTTCGAGACCCTGAACGTGAACCGCGTCGCGCCGAAGATGATGAAGGCGTCGGACCTGTCTAAGAATGACAACGTGCCCATGAGCAGGAGGGAGAGGTATGGGTTTTGTCTTAAGCACTGGAAGTCGAATTTAATATGTGCGAGCAGGGAACAGGCGGATAAGGAAAGGGCGAAGGCGGCGTTCTGGAAGGCCCAAATGGAGGGGAAGACGGATCAGGCGAGGGCGGATCTGGCAAGATTGGCTATTATTAGGAAGCAGAGGGAGGAGGCCGCGAGGAAGAAGGCGGAGGAGGCTGGTGAGATATACTCAGTTTTTCGCCTGAGCCTTGAGGATGTTGGCATGTTAATTTATCAATAACAGGCAAGTCGGGCGCGTCGGGATCAAAGGCAGAGAGTCTGTCGGCGGGCAAAGGGATCATCTCGAAGACGCTGGGGGCGAATAAGTGAATGTTAACGAGGGGCATGGTAGTACGTGGATGCGGTTGCTTTGTCTTTCTATCTTACCTTTCTGCTACATATATTACATTTCAAGACCATCATGAACTCGCTCGATTAATAACAGTATGAATGTCTATTTCAATTCTTCTTGCTGCTCATAGCATTGGCCACGTTGGACCCGTTCGCCCTGCCCAGCTCCGCGGAGATGAAGTTTCCGACCTCAACTAACGCCTTCAGGTCAACCCCGGACTCGTAGCCACATCCATCCAGGAGGTACACGACGTCCTCCGTCGCGACGTTGCCCGTCGCGTTCACGGCGTATGGACATCCACCTGTTTAGGACCTCTGTTAGCATCACTGTTACATCTAGCATTCGTGACTTACCAAGCCCAGCAACAGAGCTATCCACAACCCTAATCCCCCTCTCCAGCGACACAAATATATTCGCGAGCGCCTGCCCGTACGTATCATGACAGTGTATCGCCAGCCTGTCCATCGGCACCCTCTTCTCTACAACATCCAACATCCTCCCGATACTACCGGGCGTGCCCACACCGATCGTGTCTCCGAGAGAAACCTCGTAGCAACCCATGTCCAGCAGACGCGACGCAACGTCCGCGACGGCCTGTGGTTTAATGGCTCCCTCGTAGGGGCACCCGACGACGCAGGAGACGTAGCCGCGCACCTCGACGCCGTTATCGCGTGCCGCTTTCATCAGTGGCGTAAAGCGCTGGAAGGCCTCGTCTATCGTGCAGTTTGTGTTCTTCCTGCTGAAGCTCTCGCTCGCAGCCGCGAAGATGGCGACCTCCTTCGCGCCCGCCTCCAGCGCGGCCTCGAGCCCCTTCATGTTCGGCGTAAGGACCGGGTAGGACACGCCCGGTCTCTTCGTTATACCCGTGAGGACTTCAGCAGCGTCGGACATCTGGGGCACCCATTTCGGGGACACGAAGGATGTGGCCTCGATGGCGCGGAGACCGGTGGACGCGAGGCGGTGGATGAGGGAAATCTTTGTGGCGGCGGGGACGTGGGTCTTCTCGTTCTGGAGGCCGTCGCGCGGGCCGACTTCCACGATCTGTTTTATTCATCAACAATGAGTGTCTGAGACCATGATCAGAGAAAAGAAGAAGGGGCTTACCTTGACAAACCGACTCGACTTGGGCTGGGTCGGGGAGGCGGTGGCCAGGAGCCGCTTGGGCAGGCGTAGGAGGGACGAGGAAGTGACGGGCATTGAGAGGGAGAGAATAAGACGCGCATGCGAAGGAATGGATCTCCGACTAATTGTCGGATGGGTTGGACTACATGTAATGTCCGTGCTACTTTCACAAGCACACAGACGGTGTTGCTTCAGTAGCCAGGAATATTTCTAGCGCGGATGAGGAAGGCGTCCCGAGTCAAATCAGCCGCGCGTGGACACTCGTGGGGGGTAGAGTGCAAAGAACTCACTTCCCTCGTTGGGCGCAGGGACAGGCACACAGATGATGGACCTGTTCGCACATAGAGTAATATGCGTTCTTCGCGAGTAGAGTAGCATGCGTTCTTTTCACCTGTAATTCATAGCCTGCGTAGTTATCGAAGGATTGCGTAAGGACTGAAGGGGCGTTAAAGGGGCTTTGAGCGCCACAACCAATTAGAGTCGCTTTCTTGCACTGTTGGTCAGTTGGGCGCTTGTTTAATCACCTGGCACACACTATCGTCAAAGACCGAAGACGCGAAATGTTAGGGGAAAACCAAGCATATGATCTATATAAAAAACAAGATCAGTTGACAAACACAGGCAGATGGCGGAGTGGTCTAACGCGCCACGTTTAGGCCGTGGTCCAGCAATGGGCGTGGGTTCGAACCCCACTCTGCTCACTGACAATCTCTGGTTCAGAGCCAACGTTGTATTCGACTTTGTTTTTGCTGTTTCGACTTTATTTATCTTTTGTAATAACACCATGCTGCTAAATTCCTTCGCTTTTACTCTCGTACCTGTGTTGAAAGGGCCCGTGTTCCAACCCACATGGAGTCCCTCCTCAACTTCATCGCCGCCAATACCTACACGCTGGGATGCCGGGCAACACGTGAATTGTGGCGCGGGATGTAATCGCCGCTGAGGCCAAGTCCAGCCGCCCAAATGGGCCGCTGCCGAACAAGAAGGAATTGGATCCTACACACAAACTTGCGAAAGTTATATTGCTTTAAACCGCTCTTCAATGGAAAGTTAACCTTGGAAACAACGTCATTATGCTTTTATAGAACCCTAACCCTTTTTTTTTTTTGGTTGTTAAAGGACGAGGTTTTTGTTCGGATAAAGCAATCACGAAATATCTGATTAATAAACACATTACGGGTTGTCGATGTTAAAAGGATATGCAGCAGGAATGCCCTGGCACCTACCTAGTCGCCACTGTGATGCCTGTGTGTAGTGTGGAGGT